GATCCTATCAGTTAACTGATAGGATCTGCCTCCGTGTTTTATGCTATCGTGTTTAAATCGTTCTACTTTTTCTATTCCGAAAGAAATATTATCGTTTCCTATCGTTTTCTATCATTAGCTGATAAAAGCAATTTTAATCGATGAAATATCGATAGAATTTCTAAAGTAACTTATTATTGTTTTATATTGTTTTGATGAAATTTATCATAAATAAATGATTAAAATACTATTCTAATGAATTGTTTATACATGATAATTCTTTTACAGTTTCATAACTACGATTAAAAACGATTATATCGCTTTTATCGTTTTTTATCGATTTTTTTTAACAGGGTAATATGAAAGATTGAATTATTATAAAAAATGTTGCTATTACTGTCACTTATTTTATATTCGATATGCTTACTATTACTTATAATTTAAATATCTGCATATATGTGTGCAATATGAAACTAATGTTGCTGAAAGTCTGATATTATTGTAATTAAAAAACGTTGCTATTACTGTCATTTTTATTTTATATTCGATATGCTTACTATTACTTAATAATTTACATATCTGCATGTATTATATGTGTGCAATATAAAACTAATGTTACTGAAAATCTGAAATTATTATAAATAATTAAAAATTGTTACTTTTATTTTATATTTGATACGCTTACTATTACAATTTTAAGTTTGTAAAATATGTATATGTGCAATGTGAAAGCTATAATGTAAATAAACTGTAATGAAAATCTGAAATGATTATAAGAACCGTTGCAATTACTTTTATTTTGCATTCGATACGCTTACTATTACTTAATTTCAATATCTGTATATATCTGTGCAATATGAAATGTTATGTTGCTCAAAGACTGAAATTATTATATATTATAATAAACTATTATAATTAGTATAAAAAGCGTTGCTTTTATTTTATATATTATTAATTTAAATATTTGCACATACGTGTGAAATATAGAGCTTCTAATTTTGTTGAGACTTTAATCATTAAATACATTGTTTTACTCGCAATAACAGTACGATTCATATAAGTTCTTGACTTATATGTAATGAATTACACAATTTTATTGTTTTCGAAATGTAATACGCGAAAGTAAATTTGATTCTTCTAACTTTAATATATCTATGGACATGTAATTATATTGATTTATTTAAGTTATTTTCATTAAAAGAGAAACTAATTAATTAAAAGAGCCAATTCACATGTAAAACTTGCTGAGATTAAGACTACGTATATACATACATCTCATATTCATTTACATATAAGAAAAACGTACAACTAGTACAGTTGAATAGTAAAAATTGTCGCTAAATCAGCATCCTGTAAACCATACCTCCACCACTAAAAAAGTTCGACTGTATTCAAAATTAAGTGTTCATTTATGGTTAACTGTTAGCAGAGATAAAATCAGAACGAACACGTTTTTATATTTCAATCAATTTTATTATAAGTCCTTTAGTACGCAACAGAAAGTAACACTAACAGAATTGGTTTCCAATGCTATAATGCCAAATATTGTAACTTTGCAGCTTTTTAACTCGAAAGATATTTAATAAAATAGTTTTGGAAAGCTCTCGAGGTGTGCTACAAGAATATGTAATGAAAAATGGGGGATTTCATTTAAAAAATTCAAAGTGACCTTGATGACGCCACTTAGGGTCAAACCAATGTTATCATCTTATGTCCCCCTCGAAGTCCCAAAACTTTTGTCTGAAACATTTTTCCCTAAAATGCACTATTCAAAAGATATTTGAGGTGATCGATTAAAATGGGATACCCTATATGCTGTGCAGAACAAAATCCATACAAAAAAAAATTAGAAAGTATACCTATATCTAATATGCCTACCTTTTGCATAAAAAGCATTCATGACTTTCAATGGATATAAAAATGAAAAATAAAGATAAAAAACAATATAATCGACGCAAGGTCAGTAATATAAATACAATGTAATAAACAAGAATTTTGCAAAACATAAGCAACACATTCTAAATAACGCATGTCCAAAAATACTTATATTATTATATATATTGTTTTATCAAAATCAATTATTCATTTATTGTCATTATTGTATATAATTTTTTTTCTTTCTACGAGTTTTATATTTGATATATAGAAAACACGTCATTTGATTTTCCCGAAAATGCGAGGAGGAATACTACTATATATTCCAGATGTTGTTGCTTGCATAGAGACGGTCTACAAGATAATTGTTGTCCTTTATCGCAATGTCAAAGGCGACCGGAATGTTTAGTTTAATCTGATGGGCAGTCTGTCTTCCAGGAAAATTTATTAGACTACGTCATCCAGAATTATATCCGAAAGCATCTGGTATCAGCATCATATATAATATCATCTCCAAAAAAAACGAAAAAAAGGAAAAGAAATAGGAATTCTTTGAATATATATATATATATATATATATATATATATATATATATAAAGAAAAAAATTGTATATACAAAATATAAAAATTTAATAGCAAGAATAAAATATTAGTATTTACTGAAATATGTATTTTGAATAACATAAATCGAGTTTCTTTCTGTCCCTTCTCTTTTTTCCTCCGTTTCCTTTTCTCTCTCTTGCAATTTGCTCTACTTTATTCCTAATATATGTCACTTAAAATTTTTATCAATAGTAAAATATATTTTACTCTTGCATAATTTACAGAAAAATTTCAATATGCTGCACCTATTGAGTTATATGCATACTTGCAAACTATTTACAACAGAAAAGAGTATATATTCATATACATGATATCAAACGTGCGCGCATACGCACGTTATTATTTTTCGTTCAAAAAGTTTTACAGATTACGTGTTTAAATAAATTATTTTTAAAAAATCATAGATTAATTTTATCTATAGCGAATAATTCTATAAAAATTAAAAATTAAAAAAATTTATATAGAAAATGCTTTAATTTTCTAATTTCTTTTTATTAATTGTTATATAACACTATGTTTTGCGAAATAGTTCTTATTACATTTTAAAAGGAACATGAAAAATAAGTTAATATAATAATTTAATATATTTCCAAGAGTAACAAATCTTTGAGAAAGATACAAAATCATGAATGAAGTAACGAAATTAAAATCTTATATAAGAATTAAGTTATCAAATTGACTTATCAAACAATAAACAAGAACGGCAAATTAGATAGGTAGATAAAAATGTTAATAGAGCTGCATAGAAGAGATAATTCTTTTAATTGTAAGATGTACAACATACGTCGCAAGATTGTAATACATATGGTGATGATGGTACACAAAATTGATATGAAGATGAGAAATCGTGAATGGCTTGTTTATCATCGCTGTTTGAATTATTTCTGATATTTGATATATTTCTTGATGTGGACATTGCAGAAGCGCAAAGAGCCTCGACATTCTCATTTTTCTCTCTATTTTTATTGCACAATGGAATTTGACGAGTTTTATCACAAGCTACTCTACAATACGCAGCTAGAGCCGCCTCTCTAGTTTGGTCCGCGCAATAGAATTTTCTAAGAGCAGTGTCCACATCACCCAAATCAGTCAACTTCAATAATGCAGTATAACCTGGCTCGCAAATTGGATATAGTTTTGTCATGCATTCAGGTCTACCCATGCAATTCCACATCATGCATCTATCTTGTAAACCATTCCTTTTGATGCATTCGCATCTGTACATTATGCTTGTTCGAAAGTCGAAGAATTTACATTTTTTAATAGATTCCTGCAATATTTTGTCATTCGATATATCATATATTTCATGAGTAAATCTAACAACATGCAATTAGAAAAAATTTTAATAAATAAATAACATATTTAGGTTAGACTATCATTAACAAAAATCAAGATCTATGTATTCCTTTAGGAGAGAAAAACAATGAAAAACTGCTAAATGTTTTTAATATTATATATATATAATTAACATAAAAAATTAACATAAAAAAACTCACACAATTAGGTGGAGTACATAAAGATAATTCTGTGGGACAGTATACTAAAGGTGGACAAGATGGCTCATCCCATTCACATGGTTTCCTACACGATACAGAAATTTGATAAATCTTTATACTTTATTTTCACTTATGATCAAGTCCAATATAATCTTACTTTCTATCCATTGAACTGATTAAACATTTTAATCGGGCGAGTAAATCGCGTCTTTTATCACAATTCGGATTTTTACCATCGCAAGGCATTTTCTTTTTTAAATTCTATAGCGCTCAATATTGGCAAATTTTCTTCTAATTAGACTTCTAATTTTTTCTTTTTATCTTTTTTCACATTTGTATCTTCATTTTACGTAATGTTGATATACGTGAAATATACGTCAAATTTAGGAATTATGCAAAAATTTAGCAATATTAGTTAAAATTTTTTTCGAGTAACGTAACTGTTAATTTACCATAAACATCGAGTTTCCTAGCAACTACGTTTAATCGATATAGGGCGCAGTTCATGCAATGCTATAAATGGTTCAAAGCATTTGACTGGCCAATCAGAAGAATATAGTTTACTAATTTAATGCTTTAAAAAGTTTAAAACATTTGTAGCATCATCGTGGATCATAATTACAAATAACATGTTTCAGAAACATGTTTCATCTTATTATAATATTAGGTAAGCTTTTCTGATTATTATTTAAAATAAAGGATACGTATATATTTTCACATATTAATGTATTTTTGAAATGTAATGTAATTGCTGTGTAATAAAAATTAAATGTGTAAGAAAAATAAAATTATATTTGTTTTAATATCACAATATTTCACATGTTCATATATTATATATATACACTCCATATTATATAAATGTGTTTCTATACCTAAACTAGTGTACTTTTTGCACTTAAAGTATGTGAAATATGTATATGTTTGATATATAGCAAAAGTGAGAAAGTCTAGTACAGTACAAGAATAGAAAACAGACTTATTATATTGTATTACAAAGTATAATATTATTTATTAATAAATTTATATGTATCTTTTCTAATTTTTAATAAAATACCTTCTTCATTTAATTTTAAAATTAAAACAGTAAAATCGGTTATTAAAATATTTTCAGATATTGCAAGTGTTTCCAAATCTTTCACTGAAAATATTTGTTTTTTATCTGTATTTACCTTTTTTTCCAGTATTTTTATAAACGTTTTTATCTGTAAAAAAGAGTTATAAGAATATTTAAAAAATTAGTACCATAGATGAATAATTTTTTATAAATGTAAATAAAATTAATATACACACATACACACGCGCGCGCGTATATAATTTACCTTTTTGTTTGTTAATTTAGTATCAGAATGTAATGGCATTATACAACAATCTGTTGTATCTGTCATTGAATATTGCAATATATCTAGTACATCCAAAGCATCTGATTCAGTTGCTTCCATACGTAATTCCAGTTTCGCTCTAGCCTATAATATAAAACTTATATAAAATACCTCATTTGATATTCTCTTATCAATCTTATCACATAATAAGAGATACATAACCTCAGTTAATCGAATCATAGCTTCTAATTGTCTGTTGAATATTGGTATACTGCCAAATTGTTTATTTTTTGCTCTAAGTTCTAAATAATAATTTTGTAAAACTGCTGCAGCTTCAACGGATAATTTTGGCTTCACATATTCTCGAGCATAAGAAATGTAATTTCGAAGAATAGGTTGTGGTATAATTTCAGTAGATAATGGCAACATCAGCTTTTTTCTGCAATATTTATTACACAGATTTACTATTTGAAACAAAAATAAATACAATATTAATATAAAATATAATTTTTTTTTTTAATTAATAAGCACATACAGAGTATCTCACACTATGTAGTAAAGCAGTGTCTTATTTTAATCATTAATGGAACAACATGTAAATCTCTGGATTTTGTGGATATATCTTATTTAATTGAAATTTGTTTAAAACATTTTTTCTATTTTATTTTTTCATTTTCCTAATAGTTATAACTATATAAAAAAAATATTAGTAATGGAATTTGAAGATCATTGCTGTTAATAAAAATCTATTCAATTTAAAAAATAGAATATTACAGTTTTTGCTCCTCCTCCTTTTTGAAGAACCGATATTAGTATCCTGTTTGTCATTTAAAGTCTTAATTATAAAAATTTCAAAATTTTGTCGTTACCTTTAATAGTTTTGGAGAAAATACATTGTAACATCTTAAGTGAGACATTCTGAATATAATGCAAATTTAATTGTAATAAATATTTCTTACCTCAAAGCACATTCATTATGAAAAACTAACTTAGTAACTTCTTCATTGGAATTTGCATTGCTGCTATGAACAGTCATGATATGTTTGCATAATAGATTATCAAAATGCTATTACATAGAGAAAGAAATGATTACAATCATAAAGTGTTTTATTTTAATAGTTTAGCCGAAGATTTTGAAAACTGAGCAGACAAAATGTTTCATATAATTTTATTTTTAAAAAATTTTATGTAAACTTAAAAAATCAAAATTTTGAAAATTTACTTTATCATTATTTATTCCTCTCTGAACCTTTGTCTGCCAGACTTAGTTTTCAAGATATTTGGTTGAATTGTTTAAAATAAAATATTCTGTATATATAGCCATTGTATATATAACATTAACATTTTATTTATGAGTATTTACCTCATCTGGTTTATCCAATAATAAAAAAATCAAATCAAATCGTGAAAGAATAGGTTGACTAATATGTAGATTTTCGGTTATTGTTTTACTGTTGTCATATTGTCCTCCAATAGGATTAGCCGCTGCCAGGATTGATATCCGTGCAGGAAGAGAACATATTATACCTGATTTTGCAACAGTAATGCTTTGTTGCTCCATTGATTCTAATAACGCCTGGAACAATATATGTAAAATTATTCAGATATTTATGTTAAACTTTAGTTATAAATAATTTTACTCTATTAATATTATAAAAAATATTATTACATGTTATTAGATTATATATTAATAATTAATTAAATTCATTATTAAAAATGGCTAGTATTACTGAAAGTTACAATTCCTATATTAATAACATTTATTGGTTGTATATATTTAGTATACTTAGTTGTATTAACAATACAATTAACGTATTATTTTACCTGATGCTGAGAGCACATTTTATCAAATTCATCAATGCAGCAACAACCTTGATCTGCTAAAACTAAAGCACCAGGTTCTAAAGCAAAATCATTTGATCCCGTTTCTTTTGTAAGCGTTACTGTTAATCCAGAGGATGTACTTGAGTTGCCACAGATATATACACCTTTTGACAATATTTTTCCATATAAAATACTTGTATATTAAGAAACAATTTAATTTACATATAAATAATTTACGTATAAAGAAACTTTGAGATTTATTATTAGTTTTGTTACGTATACCTTTTGTAGATATTCGAGCACATGCTTGTAACATCTGCGACTTGCCAAGACCAGGATCTCCGACTAACAGGATATGTATATCGTCTCGTAATTGCGCACGTTTTGCATTACCTCCAAATAAACTCAATATCAATCCAGCTTTAACTATTTCATGGCCATATATATTAGGACATAACGAATGCACTAACAGTGCAAAAAGATTTGGTGTTTTATATATATCCTATGTATAATAAAAGAAAAAATAAATTATTTTAAAATATAAAATTAATTTCATTTTATATGTAACAAAAAAACGTACCTGTATAGCTAAATAATTTTTTAAAGAAATTTCAGTACTCATAGAACTTTTATTTTGATACCTATGTTTATTATTGATAACCGTTATTGCTTTCATGTATAACGAAAATGGAGTTCCAACTTGTATTTTAGTTGTACCATCGTCGACTCCTTGAACCTAAGATATTATACATATAACATTTCTTTTTCTTTGTTTTAATATTAAGCAAATATTTAGATATATAGATATTCATTTCTTAATAAATAATAGATGTTCCTGGCTGAGAACATGAGATGATATTTTTTCGCAATAAATGGTTTAGAGATTCATATAGATGCAAGTTAGCATTTATCTGATGTCGCGAGGGGGGGG